TAACAGCCTGCCAAAACTTGGACGTAAATTTGGAGTCACGACCAGACACAATCGTCTTCGGAAGGCCATGATCTTTTACATAGTTCTTCATGAAGACATGCGCGGTATCTTCTGCGCTATCTGTCGTCTGCGTTGCAATGAACTTTGCACGCTTGGTCAATCGATCTACGATGACCATGATGGCATTACAACCATCCTTGCTGGGAGGTAAGGACACAATGAAATCCATCGAAATGTCGATCCATCTACCTCTTGGTACTTCCAGCGGTTGAAGTAATCCCGGCGGTTTCACTTGTCTCGCCTTGTTGCGCTGACACATTTCACAAGTGTTGCAATAACGCTGGATATACTTCATCATCTTCGGCCAATAATACTTCTCTCGTACTGCGACGTAAGTCTTGTACGATCCAGGATGGCCTGCCGTTACGGCATCGTGGTTCTCGCAAATGACACGGTTTCTCAGATCTTCGTCTTCCGGAATATACAGTCGCGGACTTTCATCTTCACCGGTCTGGTAGTATAAAACACCATCACTGAGCGAGTAATGCGGAACGTTGTCTCCAAGCTTAAGCTTCTTGACAATTCCCTGCAAGTCCTTGTTCCACAAATACATCTTCTTTGCGGACTGTGCCACAGTCACGTTGTTCGCTACCATGGTTGCCACAATCTCACGGTTTTGAGCCGTATCAAGAAGTTCCTGAAGGCTTACTTGCGCAGCCTTATGCTCGAGCTCAGGGTTTCTTGATAATGCGTCTGCGACTACATTGTTTCTCCTGGGATCCACTTGAACATGGGCCGAAACTCCGCGAGTTCATTGAACCACCGCGCAATGCGTCTATTCGCTGTCTTCTGCGTAAGAATCATCTCGATGCTCTTATGATCGGTTTCGACAAGAAAAGGCTTGTCTAGCAGATATACACGCCATGCCTTCAGAGCATGCATGATTGCGAGAAGCTCTTGTTCGCGTACTGGGTACTTCAGCTCTGCAGGTTTCATCTTCCGGCCAGTAAAGGCAATTGGATGTTCCAACTCTCCCTCCTTTTGGAATAAGACTCCCCCAATTGCGAAATTTGAGGCGTCCATTCGAATACCGAAAGGCTTGGTGACATCAGGAAGACGAAGAACCGGTGGTGATGACAAGCGTTTCTTTAGCTCATCAAAACACCGCAGCTGGTCCTCATTGAGTTCGATCGCATCTCTAGAGCGTTTTCCCTTGATACATTCGTGCAAAGGACCTGCAAACTGAGCGAAATCCTTGCAAAATCGAGAAACGTAGACGGTTGTCCCCAGAAAGCTTTCCATTTGCTTCTTTGTCTTGGGAACAGGCCAATCTGTGATAATCTTCACCTTATCGGGGTCCATTCGAACGCCCTTGCGTCCGACAAAGTCACCTAAACATGGGATTTCGTCGACACAAAATCGGCACTTGGACAGCTTGATGTATAGCTTCTGCTCTTCACATCTCCTCAAAACCCTGTCCAACGCGGCAATATGCTCGTCGACATCTTCACTCTTGGTGTACACGTAAATGTCGTCGAAGTAGATCCGCATCACGTCACGTAAATCCCTAAAAACCTTCTGTAACAACCTGTTAAAGGTTCCCGGGCTACCGCTGAGTCCCATGGGCGTGACGAGATATTCAAAAAGACCGTCTGGAGTCGAAAAAGCAGTAAAAGGTATATCTGATTCACGTAGCTTAACGTGGTAGTAACCCCAGAGTAAGTCCATGCACGAGTACCAATAGCTGCCGGCCATCGCATCAAAGGTGTCTTCTTTGCGAGGCATCGGAATAGCCGGTAGAACCGTAGCTAAATTCAACTGACGATAGTCGTGCACAATTCGCCATCCGACTGGTTTCTTCACACAGAAAGTCGGTGCACAAAACGCTGACGTACTCGGTCGAATGATACCAGCTTGAACCATCTCTTTGGTCCATTCCTGTATCGTTTTCTTCTGATCAGGACTTTGGCGCCATTGTTTCACCGAAATAGGCGGAGTATCAGGCTTGAGCAGAATCTCATGCTCAATCCCTTCACGTACTGGGGGTGTCTCATTCGGAAGTTCCGTGCGAAAAACCGTATCCGCATACTTACGTAGCGTATCGTACGCCGGATTGTCCTTGAGAGCATCCCATCCTTGACTCTTGAAGCGTTCCGCCTTCTCCGAGTCATGCGGATTGATAACAAACACCGCTTCGATGTCCTTGTCCCTACGCAACATTTGCTGGAACTGGTTGGACGAAATAACCTTCGTTCGTCCAAACTGGCCGTTGTGGCCATGCTGCCGATAGTAGTTGTAGATCTCACGGCTCTGCGCAATTCTGGCGCGGCGTTGTCTTGCCACCCAACGGGCTGGACGTGTCTTCGGCAGTCTCAGCTTAACAGTCTGCGTGTTCTCCACGTTGATGCGAGGTGCAATCTGTCCAGTACTCCAGTCGATGTCAGGGTTCTGCTCCCGCAGCCACATCATGCCTAAAACTATGTCCTTTCCCTCAGGAACAGGCATGACTTGGAATGTTCCCGTTGTCAAGGGAAATCCTGGTAACTGTAGAGACATCTCTACAGTCCGACGTGGACGATGCACAATCTGATCATAACCGAGATCAACTTGCATCATGTCACCTTCAGTGACATCCAACTCAAGCTTCATCACTAACTCCTCAGTTACGCCGTTCAGGCTACTGCCGTTGTCAATGAATATCGTGACGGGCCTCTCTTGGTCTTCCGTCTTGAATGCTCGAGCTTCAGCCTCTAGGATCGCATACACTGCGCCCTGTATGTACCGGTTTGCTTCCGTACGTTTTGGCTGAGTACAATCTGGAGCAATGTGACCAACCTTGTCACAATTTCTGCACGTAGCTGTCTTTTTCCAATCATCGTTCTTGCCCTTTTTCTTTTCGTAACGCTTGTTGTTCTGCTGTTTCGATTTAGGCGGATGATGCCCCGAGTCCGACGACCCTTTTGATGGCTTCGAAGGTGCTCGAGGAGGTTTCCCGGAGTAGTGCGCAAACTCGAAGTTCGAAGCAATTTCAATGGCTTCTTGTAGCGTTGATGGACTCTCTTCTTTGATCTTCTTTGCTGTTTCTTCACGTAGCCCGTTTTGAAAGAAGAATCGTTTCTCCAACTCACTGATCGTCAATTCTGTCTGTGACAGCAAGTCTTGAAACTTGGAGACATACTCGTGAATAGTCTCGGTCTGTTTGAGACGAAACATTCTCTCGCGAAGATCATACTCGAAGTCCTTTGGGCGAAAGCGCGTGCGCAGCTTTTGCTTAAACAATGACCACGTGGGGTTCACACTCGCTCTCTCACATTCGGCTATAAAAGCGCGATACCAGTTCAACACTGACTTGCCTAAGTTGCTGGAGATTATCGTCACGAAACCTGACGAGTCTGCCTCCATTAACTCACGTCTGCTTGCGTAGTACAGCTCGGTGTCAAAGATCCACAATTCAATGTCTTCACCATACTTTCCTTCATACATCGGAGGGTTCTTCTTCTTCTGCTCACCCCTAGCGGCAACGAGATATTCGAATCTCGCATTAGCTTGTTACATTTGGGCTTGCATTTGCGCTTGCATCTGAGCTTGATACTGCTGTTGCTGCTGCGTAATGTATACGAGCAGCTGCTGCATGGACATGGTCTCAGGTCCAGCCGCATCCTGAGCAGCATCAGTAGCAGGGGAGGCTGACTCAGCCTGTGCGTTGGCACTGGCCCCTTCTCTTGACGCTTGCGATCTTGCATTTGTTCGCATCGTGGGTTGGGTAGCTTCAGCGTCGCTCGGAGCACTAACACGGCTCTGTTGACGAGGACGAGGGTTCGGTGGCGGGCGCTCAGCTGCACGACTCCTTCTTTGAGCCATTACAAGCTGGACTTCTCAGCGCAAGTCTTTTAAGATACCAGAACCCTATACCGAAGTTAAACGAAGCGAAAAAAGGTTCCGATATATAAAGTTCTCCCTAGAATCTACGTTTCTTGTCTACTGAAGTCGTGAATGACGTTCCGGGCGGCTGCGTCCTTAGAATCCGGAATTTCGTTTCGGATCAGGCGGACGAGCTTAAGTTGCTTGACCGTTGTTAGCCACAAGTCCAGACGAAGCTGATCGAGCTGCTTGTGTCGATCAGTCAAGGACTTTGTGCTGTTTACAAACGGATCTTCGGGCTGACGAGTCTTTCGCTTACCCATAAACAAGCACACTGAAACAGATGCAGTCGCAACGGATGTAGATCAAGCACAACCAGTGAGTATCTAATCGAACGTTCGCTCCTTTAAGCTCTGATGCGGGATAAGGATCCACTTAACGTGAAAGCGTTAGACCCAAGACCACCAGAAAGAGTTTCCGATTGTGTGTACCACACTAGTGCGCAACCACACCAGCTAGCCACTGAACGTAACAGTTCGTGCTGAGGCAATACCCTTTGTGATCTAGTGCTTCCCCAACTATGTGGCTGGCACCAATAACCTCAGGACAACTCGCTTCTGGCTATGCCACCACGAGTGCCCTACTTGAATCGAAGCTTGACCAACAAGTGTTACCATGTCACGAAAGTAGCGAGGAAGCGTAGGAGCGTAGACGGCGAGTACGGCGCCGTAGACAGTTGAAGGGGAGGAGAGGAGTTGCTGCTCGAAAGCAAATTGAGAAGCGATTAATCAGTTAGAGTTGGCGGCTGCAAGCTAGTTGCTGCCGCACAACCAGTAGTTCTTGACAACCGGATATTCACGCACGTATCCAGGTCCATCCTAAAACCTATCTTTCTCAAATCCTGATTTTCTCTGTAACTACCAATGAAAGCCTATGAATCCTAATTCTTATCTTGGTCGGAAATTTCGCACAGCGTCCCATAATCACAATTTCCGGCTGGAAGCTTGATTGTTGCAAATCCATGGGATTTTGGACCAATAGGATTGTAGTATGATGTAAAGACACGCAATCTTAAGTTTACGCTGATCAGAATAATCTGACCAGCTGAACTCAAATAATTGACGTGGCTGGTCACTGCCATGCCATTGGCTAGTGACCACCACGTCACACATAGTACCGCTGGGCAGGGTATGGATTTTGTGCGAACGTTAGAGTCACCAAGCTTCGAGGACTCATACTTTTCAAGGCGTCACAACGCCGTGTTAATGGACCAACTAGAAAAGGAAGTTGAGGACGTCTATCGCAAGTTTTACCGAATCTACTCTCCGCAAATGTCCTCCACAAGCCTTCCCAATTCACAGACGTCGTACGAAGAGAAGTGCGAGGCCAATGCCAAGGAATTTGTGACCGCAACGCCGTTAACCTGGCCCATGAGGAACGCATTCGCACATGTTTGGACCTTACTGGACAACAGCTCCGTACGTGCTTCATTCGCTTAATTTGTAACTGTATGACGTCATTCTTTTAAGGTCATGGTGTTTGACCTCTAGGATCGAAGTCGCAAGCCCAACACACTTGAATCCAATGCTAAGCTGACTGTCCCTCTGCGCAATAGCACCGCTTGCCAATTCCACAAACTTCACTTGCTGCGCAAGTATGAAGAACAAGACCGAATCATCGTCATTTGGTCTGACCTCATGCAGATAACGTCGAAGGGTATTCGACTGCGTTCGATCGCCCACGCAGTTCTTGCTCCTTCTGAACCGACCCGTCGAACGCTTGTGTCATGGAGACGTCTCTTAAACTGCATGTGGAGCCAACAAAAGGAGAAATCGTATCCAATGAAGACGTTCGATATGGGCAGGAAGTGGTTCTTCGTGCATACGGCTGGCTTATGAGACTCTTCTGGCAAGAACATCAGCACAGCTTGCTGGAGGTTACATCTCGCTCCCTGTTTGATCAACAATATGAAATTACGTAAGTGACTTGTTTAGGAATTATTGTACTACTGTTTTATAAAAATGATGGAAACACTAAATCTCTGAAAGGGCAACAGATTTAAGATATTATACTTGTGTTTCTAAAACGCTCCATAGATGTACTTTGGAATGTATTGAAACAGTGTAACATGGTACTGTACTACAGAGCTCGAAAATGATTGCATAGCTGCATGTGATCCGACTGAGATCGGCTCTGAAAATTGTTAAATCTGGTCGGGAAATGTAGGTTGATCATCAACATGATAAAGGTACAGTAGGCGTGGCCTTTACCATTTTTAAAGCCCCACGCTATCGACGAGAGCGTTTTCAGTGTCATTGTACCGTACTATCACCCTCAAACGATGCTTTAATTGTAGCCAGTAAATATAACCCACTGTCGTGATGATAATAGCTAGATGTGACGTCCGCGGAATTAATGACAACATATATAGGGATCTACGACTGGTGTAGATTAAGTTCCCAATAGTTTCGTCATCACGGTTTGTTATTACACTAGCAGCCTCTATTCGAAATAGAGTGACAATACCACAACATGAGTTACTTGGAATTTATAAGACGATGGTTTTCCCTTTTAAGGACGAATTGGAAGGAAGGGTGAAAGTCACTCGTGTTCGGCAATGCCAGTGGTTTAAGATCAGCAATTTGCAACGTGGTCGGCGAGGTGGTTTTGGGACTGGGCCGTATTAGATTAGCCACCCAAGACCATAAAAAGTCAAGTAAATCGGATGGTCATTGTTGAAGGAATGATTTGCGCAGAGTTGTTAGGGCAGTACAGAACTGAATGAGGACAAAGGTAGAGAGGATTAGGCGGCCATAGTGAAGAGGAAGTCTTGAGTGTAGAAGGAGAAGACGCTTGTGGTGGACTTGGTAAAAGAAGAAGAGCATGTGGTGGACTCGGTAAAAGAAGAAGTAAGATTAATGTTTAAGAAAGTAGCGGGCTACTAACAAGAAATTAGTATGCGGCATTCAGAAACATAGTCTAGAATTGCCGCTACCATTCATAGTACTAAAATGTTCCAGACATTTTAGTACATTATTTATTAGAGTCAAAAATACCGTGTCTCTTCATTATTAGTTTATAGAGAGCACGATGGAGAGGCGGTCCCTGTGACGGGCCCTAACCTCAACAGCCTCCCTGGATCGACATCAGGGAACGTCATTGGATAATATAATACACGTGTTTTGATTGGTCTACGAAAACCCTGTTAAAAATGTTCAGTCAATTTACAAAATGGCTACACGAATTCGTGTTTTATGCGTTTCTGAAGCTCCTAGAGGCCCTACAGCCAAACGGAGACCGGATTTGGACTCTACTCGCCAGGGCAGTTTTCTGGGGAGGTGGAGTCCAAATCGCCATTTGGCCACTTGTGCACCAGGTGGCATACTGAAAAATGACTCGAAAGTTCAAAACGAATTAGTTTTGACAGTGATAGGTTTTGAGAGTACACTTGTATTGAAGTTAATAGCAGTTACAACAAGTGGCCATCTTATCGGTCGTGTATGTTAACTTAGAGAAGCTCAATGCCATCAGAATCGGCCCACATGACGGACAGCCTTGAATTTAGTAGAGACGACAAACGCAGATGATGCTGGGACGGCATAAGGTCTTATTCTATGGTCCGGCGCGCGGTATAGGATCAATCAGCAGCTCGGGGGCTCATCGAGCTGATCTCGTAGTCTCACATCACAATTTACACTCTACTGTCACCGCACCAGCCACACGCACGTCAAGGACACGCACGTCAAGGCCACGACACCAACAAATTTCGGTGCTTCAACAGCCAGCTTTGGGTATTGCAACGCTTCATTCTCGCTCAGTCGGCGTCATTCAGGATACTTGTGGAGACCAGGCAGATTGGCTCGAGGCTCAGTTATTTAACGCCAGCTTTGAGGATCATGTCTCGGTCGGCGCAGGTGGCCCGGATGGACCCTACTATCGCCGTGCATCTCATTACAATGGCTGCCCCAAAGCAGTTACCTTCGATTACAATTTCTCTATTTGAAATAGTACAGTTATATTTCACTAGATAGTCATCATCACATCGGAGATGCTTACTTCGACAGCCTCCCACATCGAGGAATGTGTATGATGCTCTATCTGTCGGATAGTTACCACAGGTGGCTGTTATAACAGTCCTGTACGTACATGAGCATTTACAAGAAGTAGATCTTGTTTTGATATTGATGATCTTTTTCCTTTGACTTTCATTGTCAGATTTGTCGCCTCATGCTGTTTTGTTTGGCAATAACTGTGCTGATTTCTTGTTTTCATTGTTATTTTGGCTACTCAGGAAAACCTTAGAGGATTAAACCTGTTCACCGTAGTGATTGTTGTTGCTATCGTTTTAGTTATACGAATTTGTAGCAGCTACTTCAGGGAAACCTTTAATTTTAAGGATCAAAACCTGTTCGCTGAATTGTTGCTGTTATCGTTTTAGCTTTACGAATTTGTAGAAGCTACCTCAGGAAAACCTTTAATTTTAAGGATCAAAACCTGTTCGCTCTGTTGTTGGCTACTCAGGAAACCTTCGAGGATACACCTGATCACCGTATTTATCTTTATATATTTTGTGTAAGCGTTTTAGCTTTGTTCATTTCTTAAACTGCCATTGTTTTGCTCTTTAATATGTGGATATTTCTATACAATGTGTGGTTTGTTTTTTGTTTTTCGCTGCTGAGGTCTTATCGAATTGCCTCCCAGTTTCATGAAATGGTTGATATAGGTGCTGCAGTCATTTTCAATTTGTTCTGACTATTATTATTGAGAGCTTATAGTTTTCAAATATTTTTGAAGAAAGGCTACAGCTTTCAAAGCATAAAAACATCTAACAGTGTCATCGGTAGTGTACGCATCTTGTTTGCAGGCTCTCATCGTTGGGGCTATTTTTCTCCCTAGAGGCTCATGGAGTTGTTTCTCATTTCGAAGATTTTTATTTTGTTTATACTTCGCAAGTGCAAGCAATAGGTTTGTAAACTATCGATTCCATTGAAAATGAAACTAATGCAGTAAAACTATAGTTGCTTTCTGTAGACAGAGGCTTGTGTAGGCTTGTCTTAAAGTCATAAAGTATTGAAGATTTTTTCTTTATGCTGGAAATGTTTGAAACTTTTGCCGCAATAATTTTTTTTTTAAGTTTGGCGAATTGAATGAATTGTTTTGGCGTTGTTGCCTCCCAGTTTCATACATTTCTGGGCGTATTTCTTAACTTGGTTAAATACCAGACACATGTTTGTATGGACAATTGCCCATTTTTATTTTATCTCTTTCTTGTTTTTTTTAAGGTATATTTTTATTTTACAGGTCCAAAATGTAGTGGATTACCTGTTCTCAACAAGCCGTAGATCTGCATTTAGTAGACTGCTGCAGCTTTGCATTAAGCGAGGTTTTAGCTGTGCCATTCCTCCTTGTAGCTCGAGATGCACAATTTTTAAAATGGTATTTCATTAAGTACACATATACTAGTAGTAAATACACAGCTTGTAGCTGGAATAATTTTTGCACAGCTTTATAGCTCGCAAGTGGGGCATTTGGCCTCCCAGTATGGCGTGACACTACAGCAATGCTGCTGGTGCGTGAGGGCGGTATTTAGTTCTTCGCCTTAAATATGTACTACATGTACTTGTACATCATCAAATGCATGTACGTGTATGTGTACGTGTACGTGTATGTGTACGTGTACGCGTACATGTACGTAGAGCACAAGGCACTGTGGCCTTCTAGTACGGCTTTTCAACCAGACAGCGCTATGGCTGGTCTGGCATCATGGCCTCACAACTCGGCAATGGCCGGTGTGGCACGGAATGTATGTGTCTCGTGCGGCGCTACAGCTCCATGGCTGGCGCGGGGGTTTCATGACCTCCCAGCATGGCGAATAACTACGCATGCTGTGCTACAGCACAGTGGCTGGAGCCAAGTTGGCAACGTGGCCTCACGCGAGTTGGTGTCCGTCGGGCGATTTTCTCTCCGATCTCCTTCATGAGCCTTGGGGCTTGGAGGCGCATCGTCTTACCGCTTTCAGCTCGTCAGTACCCTGGCGAAGCGTTGGGCTGATAACCTGTTGAAGGAATGATTTGCGCAGAGTTGTTAGGGCAGTACAGAACTGAATGAGGACAAAGGTAGAGAGGATTAGGCGGCCATAGTGAAGAGGAAGTCTTGAGTGTAGAAGGAGAAGACGCTTGTGGTGGACTTGGTAAAAGAAGAAGAGCATGTGGTGGACTCGGTAAAAGAAGAAGTAAGATTAATGTTTAAGAAAGTAGCGGGCTACTAACAAGAAATTAGTATGCGGCATTCAGAAACATAGTCTAGAATTGCCGCTACCATTCATAGTACTAAAATGTTCCAGACATTTTAGTACATTATTTATTAGAGTCAAAAATACCGTGTCTCTTCATTATTAGTTTATAGAGAGCACGATGGAGAGGCGGTCCCTGTGACGGGCCCTAACCTCAACAGTCATGACAGTAGCTAACACAGACACACATACGACCTTTGTGTATCATAGATTAATACACACAAGTCTCTAACTGCTTTTTATCTTTCTCATTAAGCTCACATTCACTTTAAAAAGGCTGCATACATATTGAATGAGCTCGTACATTTACTAAACTACACAGCATTATTGCTACCTAAAGTAAGCAAGATCCTATAGCGTTGGTTTCTTTGGTGATATACAAAACGGTAGCTACCTACCTACCCGGGTACCGTAGGGAGTAACTTATCTACACATGAGGTTGTTTGAATGTCCCGCCTAATCTGAGATAAGATTTCACGTTCCCTTACGTATCGCGACAATATTTAAATGAAGAAGTAGTATATTTTCGAGCAGGTTTCCCGAGGGTCTGTGCACGCGGGATTAAAAGTGAGAGCTCACAGTTTGCTGTGAAATTTCGCCTTTAAT